CCACATTATACGATTATTACACACTTTTGTCCTACGGAATCTTTGTAATAGCCAAATACTACGGTAATTAATATAATATACGGTCCTTAGCGACCTTTACGACATCGTTTCATATTTCGTTTATTATTTATTATATTACGTTCTTATCCGGATTTATTGATTCGGGTCTACCCCGGGTTAATTAAATCCATCAATATATATATATATATATATATATATATATATATATATATATATATATATATATATATATATATATATATATATATATATATATATATATATATATATATATAATTAGGTTCTGGTGCGGTTAGGGTGCCCAAGTGCGGTTTAATTAAGGTCAGCGGTTGCTTAAATTAACGTCCAGGATTATCAAAATTTAAAAAAAAAACGCGGTGGCAATTTTGTAATTTTTGCATCTAGGTCAAAATTAAGGTGAGCGGTTCTGTGATTAATGTGCGTGAGTTTTGTATATAAGATGCGTGAGTCTTGTGCGTGAGTTTTGTGCTTAATGTGCGTGTAGTTGTGCTTAATGTGAATAGTTGTTAAAACTTAAAGTGTGGGTTTTTGTGCTTAAGGTGCGTGAGATTTATTCTTAATGTGAGTGGAGTTTGTGCTTAATGTGCGTAGGGTTTGTGCTTAATGTGTGTGAGGTTAGTGATTAATGTCAGTAGTTGTTGAAACTTAAGGTTTGTGAGTTAATACTTAATGTGCGTGGGTTTTGTGCTTAATGTGCGTGAGGTTGTGCTTAATGTGCGTGGTTTTTGTACTTAATGTGCGTGAGTTTGTGCTTAATGTCATTAGTTTATGAAACTTAAGGTCTGTGAGTTAATACTTAAAGTGCGTGGGTTTTGTGCTTAATGTGCGTGAGGTTGTGCGTAATGTGTGTGGGTTTTGTACTTAATGTGCGTGAGTTTGTGCTTAAGATATAACACTTAAGGTGCGCCATTTTTAGCTTATGCTTCTTACTTCCAGACACACGTTTTTTTATATTTTAATTTTCATTGATTTGAGCCGTTGATCTAGATTTGATCAAGGTCTCAGATCTAACCGCACAACCGCACGGGAAGCTATACCCGCACCTAAATCCTTCCATATATATATATATATATATATATATATATATATAGGGGTGATCACATGTGGCCATGTTGTTAGGTGTGGTCATATGGTCAATTACAGGCCATTAGATTAGATAGATCCAATAAATCACATTAATCAAGATTTTTTCAGTATTTTCGCGCACTTTCTCCTACCCAGCGAACTGCAAGGGTAAACTTGTCATAAGGCATCGGAATAGGGAAAATCACATTGTTGTGTGCTTTATTTGTGTAATTGGTGCATTATTAGTCTTACTCTGGTGTATTTGTAGATTCTCATTGGTGCCAAGTTCAAGTGCGGCAACGCCTTCCCGTGTGGTCAGTGCGGCTGCACCAATTGTTATACAAATATACACAATCCATGTTATGAAATGCACAACAAAAAACATACACAAATTAGGTACGTCAACGCATCACCAAAAACGCGCCATTAGATAAGAATAAATACACCATACAGTGTTCGGGAATACACTATTGGTGCACGTTGTCAACACTGTTATTGTATTCTGGAACCCGGCCACTATAAATGGCCACTGTAATTACCATAACACCCCCACGCGCGAAAATCCTCAAATCTTCATAATTGGCCACTGCCGTTAGATTAAACTGAATCAACGACACAGATACGACCACACCGCCACACCTAATGACATGACCACATATGAGCGCTCTTATATATATTAACAACAGGTTACTACGAATAGCGAATTACTGTTCGTAACAACAATTTGGAGTTGCAAACAGTAGCATCTTGTTGTTGTTTGCAGTCTCAAATTGCTATTGCAAATAATAGTTCTTTGCGTGATGCCTAGCAATATATCAAGGATAATTTTATATATATTGGATTTTTATTTTTTTATTTTATGCAACTTGTAATTATATTTTTAAATATTTTATTTGATCAAGTCTTTTATTATAAATTTTATTGTTCAATATTGTTATGAATTTCTAATGAAATAGTTGTTTTTTTTGTTGATGTTTATTAATAATATATATAAGTAATTAGCATATAAGTCTCAGCATACTATGGATAAAAATAATAATGTTGAGAATGTTGATGTGGGTGAAGAACTATATAATAAGAAGAATTTTATAATATATTATAAATGTTTTGTAAGAAAATTGTAAATGATAAAGAATCAAAATCATTGAAAGTTTGTAATGATGTATTCAATTTAGAATTTCAATGACTTTTGTAGACTTTTTAAAATAAAAAGTTGATAAAAGTCTATGAATGTTTTTTATATAGACTTTTATAGAGTCTTATAAAGTTTTAAAAAGTTTTGAACGACTTTATGAAAGTCAATCAAAGTTTATTAAAATCTATCATTTTAAAAGTCTTTAAAACTCCACAAAAGTCATGATTGAATACACCCCCCTTAGATAGGTTTATAGAGTTTAAATAGGGAGAAAAAATAGAGTTTAAATAGAGAGAGAAAACATTCAAAGTTGTTAGAAAGAAAATTTGAAATCTTGGGGTTGATGGTCGGATTTCAACTATTTATATTTGAGAAGGAAAAGTCTACAAAAGTCTACAAAAGTCTTAAAATTAAAAAATCTACAAAAGTTCATAACTTTTTGAATACCACATGACTTTTAAAGACTCTTTAAAAGTCCTAATCGAATACCACACGACTTTTAAAGACTCTTTAAAAATCTTGATTGAATACCGCCTGACTTTTAAAGACTCTCTAAAAGTTTGAATTTAAAACTCTATGAAAGTCATGATTGAATACACCCCCCTAAAATTCAAAATACAGTGTGAACCCTAATCCATAATATAAGGATTGCCGTTCTTCCCCCTTTGTCATTCTCGTACTCCTTGTCTCCTTCTGTCCTGGTGATTTTGCGACCAGCCACCGTTGCCCCTGGGTCGTTTGTGCATGCCGGCCGGCGGCCCTCAGCCTTGCCCCATAAAGTTTTTCCTCGTTTGGATTCACTTCTTCAAAGAGTTTCAGACAATATCTATTAATATGCCCCTCAATGTCACAAACTAATTGAAGCAAAAGTTAGTAATATTTAATATTTGAAATCTTCCTAGAACCATTCTCCGACAGTAGGCTCGCTTAAGGTTCTTTTTGCGCTTTAATGATTTAGTGACATCCAGAGTAATCCTTATTCTCATAAATAGCTTCCTACTTCCTATACGGTTTCTTGGATCGCCTAAACAAAATCACCTATGACCCTGTTTGGTAAAATATTAACATATAGGTTAATTTTGACTTATTTGACTAGTATTAACTTTTTGATTTGGTTAAAAAAATCAATATAAATGTTTGGTTAATTAGCTTTTTGTAATTTCAAAATGCTAAAATTCAAAAGCTACTTAAAACAACTTTTTGAAAAAGAAAATTATACAAACAGCTATCAGGGGAAGCATATGATTAGAAAAAAGAAGTATAATTTTGTCTAAAAAGTATCTTTAATTTTTTTCTTTCAAAAAAAAAAAAAAAAAAGAAGATCAAATTTAAAATACCAGGGGAAGCATATGATTATAATTCCTTGAAAATGAGGGAATTACATTTCTACAGAAATACAATTCCATCTGACCAAATGAAAAAGTTTACTTGCCTTTGGAAAAGTTCCATTAAGAATATATAAAGTATTGATTATACGATATATTTTAATTTTACCTCTAATAAATGCATTTAATTTTTTTTTCTTATTGTATTAGTCTTTTTATGCGTGATGTACAAAAACGTAACAAATGTTAAATATTAATATTTAATGTTAAAATCATAATTATTTTGATTCTTTATATTACAACCGGTAGAGAAAATATAAAACAAATATTATCTTGTAATAGGCTCAAATAATACTAAAAAAAGGAAAATCAAATTCACAATAAGTACGAACGCCATTTATATATGTTTTCTTGGAGAGGAAGAGTCTTGCTTCCCTCATCCTTTTCTTGGATAGGAAGACAGTCCAGATTGACCTCTTCGTTTTTTCTTGGGGAAGAGGTTCAGAATTATTCATAACATCAATTTTTTTTATATTATCATTACATGTTTACACGCAAGAAGTAACAAATAGCAAGGGCAGCGTAAGTTGACTGCTAGCTCCAAAATAATCAACTAGTCTACTATTTTAGTTGGAAAAGTCTACTCAAAATGGTCCCACTACTAGTATAAATATATGTACTCACCACTCCTAAACCATCAAACTCGATCAACACTTTGACTAATATAGAACACACAGAGAGTGAGAGGGAGATGGAATTTGCAGCGCCGGCAGCTGAAAAGCATGAGATAGTGATAATCGGTGGTGGCATTTGTGGACTTGCCACAGCCCTTGCTCTTCATAGGTACCATTACAACTTACCTATATATATTTGTATTATTAAGGACCTTAGGCTCTTCACCGGCCTCCGCCCAACAGTTCCTCCTTCTAGTATCTATCAGTTTTTGCTCTTATTAAGACTCGAATATGTGACTTGGATTTGATACTACTTGTTAAGATTAAATGATTAATTACCATTTTGTCAAAAGCTATAGCTTGTAGCGGAAGTACAACTTTATTTCTTTATATTACTACACATTTTCGAGAGCTAGGGTGCTGGACTTGACCATTTACCGGTCTCCGTCCAACAATCCCTCAACACCAGCCAGTCTAAACTGCTCTTACTGGGACGGGAACCCGTGACCTGACTATGATACCACTTGTTAGATCAAACACTTATTATTACTACACCAAAAACTATAACTTCAGCTTTATTTTCTAATAGACTAACATCACATTTTCGAGAGATAAGATACTGGACTTGATCTTTAATTCACCGGCCTCCCTCCAACATATATCATAACAACTATATAAAATAATTTGTACATATATAATTAGGATTTATCATACCCTTTATTTCTAGCTTTTTAAAGGTCTTGTACATTTTGTTTGATATTGGAACTTGTATTTGCGATGTATCATACAGGAAAGGATTGAAAAGTATAGTGTTAGAAAGATCGGAAACACTTCGAGCACAAGGGGGAGGAATTGGGCTGTTGCCTAACGCATGGCGAGCACTTGATCAACTTGGTGTTGGGTCCCGGCTAAGAAGCATGGCTGTTCTTCTGCAGGGGTGAGTAGTCATTATTGATTAAAAACTTGCGATATGTATATATGGAATATGATCAAATCGTCGGCACGGGCTTAACTCATTAGTTCAGTAGGTAATATTTGAAAAAAGAGACCAAGGTTTGAACTTCGATAGCAGCAGTGTGGGGATTATGTTCAAAGTAGATAAATTCCTTATACGCACCAAATGTTTTGTCGAGTCGAGGTATAGGGGTTTTTGAAATTGGGGCAACTTATAGGAGAAGAAGGAATATGGTCAAATTATCATTTATTGCATAATTTATAATAATGTGTACGTAGCGTTGTACGTCCATACAACAATTACTCCCACTACCTGCCTGCCCTTGACTCCATCCAAATATAATTTAATTTTGTGGTGCTCGTCGCTATCATATACGGAGTATATATATCAACTTGTGATAATAAGTTCACCATACAACCTATTCTTTCTACTTTAATTTACATACTACTCGTGCTATAAATATATGTGTGAATTTTATGATATTGTTTCACATTTTTTTTAAAAATAATGTTATGTTAATACATTATTTCTTATTAATGCAGGGGACGTGATATCTTGATTGACGAAAATAAAGAACAAAAGATAGAACATGTGTAAGTTTGATATTCATTCATATTTTAATTCTCATGTTTTCTAATGGGAAGTTGAATAAATTATTTAAATTTGTAAACATAAAAAATTCAAACAATCATTGTCACTAAGGTGTTTAAAAGGAAAAAAATAAAATAACGGAATATGTAATAAAATATTACAGTTAATATTATATCTTTAATAAAAAAAAAAATCTTCGATGTATAATCAAGAAGAAATATATGTACATGTTTGCCTTCAATGTTATTTATTTAATCATAATGTAATATTTATAATAAATTAATTTAATCATAATAAGTTGTTATAAAGTATTGTTTGAAAATTATACTAATTTGTTTTCTATTATATTGTATTAAATTATTAAAAGAATCCACTATACATACTCTAACTTTTTTACTTTTTACTAACATAACATATTAACATATATTTTGAGTCATTTAGGGAAAAATAAGTTATATATAGTTTTTATTTATTTTTCCTCCTAAAAAAATCAATATGTATATCTTTTTTTTTTTTTTTTTTTAAATTACTGTAAGTCCACTTATCAATTTCTATATACTAAATTATGTATGTATGTGGTGGTGATTATGGATAGGACTGGAGAGTCACGTTGCTTGCAAAGGAGTGATCTTATCACAACGTTGGCTGACGAATTACCGGTTGGGACAATACGCCTTGGTTCTGAGGTTGTCTCCATTGACCTTGACTCTGTTACTGAAACGCCACGCCTTCTGCTCACTTGTGGGAGCTACATTGATGCAGAGGTATTTAGCTATAGTTTTAGTACGATGATAAACATTTGATTTTGTCAATTGGTGTCAAAGTAGGTCATTAAAATATGATTTTTTTAGTTTATGTTTTGAATTAAATTTGTTGGTTATAATTTAAAGCTTAATGAGTTTATAAATGGCAGATTGTGATAGGGTGTGAAGGAGGGAGGTCAAAAGTGGCAGAGTTGCTAGGGTTGAAGGCGTCAAGGGCATTTGATGTTGGTGTAATTAGGGGCCTAACAACCTACCCAAATGCTCATTCAATGCCACATGAATTTCGCCGAATTAGAAAAGGAGAAATTGGGGTTGGAATGCTTCCAATTACTCAACATTTGATCCATTGGTTTGTGGCCCTTCCAACGCACTTATTATCAGGTATAAATTAATTTTTAACTAATTTGTTACTAAAACCCTCGACCATTAATGAATCTGGATAGACAATTGATCCCAGGTCTCACTTTTCTGATTATAATCTAATGTGATTGACAGGAGATAAGTTCCCAAATGATCCAAAACACATCAAACAGATGGCTCTAGAGTTAATAAAGGACTTCCCTTCAAACATACACGAAACAATAGAATTGTCGGACCTGGATTCTATGTCCGCTGCGCACTTGTGGTATCGTGCACCATGGGACTTGCTCCTTGGGACCATGCGTAAAGGAACGGTTACTGTTGCGGGGGACGCAATGCACATAATGGGCCCTTTCGTAGGGCAGGGCGGCGCCTCCGGGCTAGAAGACGCGGTGGTGCTGGGGAGATGCCTCGGCATGGCAATGAGTGGGATTGAAGGCAACAACAAGAAGGAAAAGATCGCCAAAATCGAAGCTGGGTTGGATCAATATGTGAAGGAAAGGAGAATGCGGGTTTTGGGATTGTCCACTATCACTTATCTCATTGGTATCATTGTGGGGAGCACATCCCCACTCGTAAAGATGGTTGCTGGCTTTACCTTAGCTATTCTGTTTAGGGATAAAGCATCCCATGTTCATTTTGATTGTGGTAAGCTCTAATGGGTATATCTTGCCCCGAATATAGCCTATTAAATCAATAAGTTAAGCTCGTGCGAGCTTAATGCATATATCTTAATGGATGGACTAGATGTACTACAATATAATATTATAAAATTAATACCATGACATGTATTAAGGTTTGATAAAAGTCTAGGTAGGTGTCTTGTTAAAGGATTGTACATCAATCTTGAGAGGTGGCTTGGTTCCCATATTTTGAGTTGATTAACTAGTTGTGTTATGTTGTGTTTCAAGCATGTTTTATTAGTTATTAGATTGCGTATCGTAGCATTATAGTTTTGTACTTTCCACTTTCTCATATCAATAATAATTTTTACCTTTATATACAAACTAGCATTTTGTACGCGCGATGTGTAAAAATTTATGCACAATATTAACACATTAATAAATATAAATAATTAAAATTATAGTTCAAGTTATATATGCAAATAATATATGTATTATATAAACACACATGTGATTTAACATTCATAGAAATTTAATTAAAATATAATCAACAGTTAAATTAATTATATAATGATTTTAATAAAATGATAATTAAATAATATGAAAAATATATGGTAGATATAAGTGTATGGTAATAATGATGGAATCATGAATGTTAGAATTAAATATTAACGGAGTTAGGCTCCCACCATGGAATTGCAATTCCTAGGGTATCCTAGAAATTGTAATTATGCACTTTGTGGAATTATAATTCCATAGTGAATTACTATTTTACACTTTTTCTTATTATTAAATTACTAGTATTTACACATGTGCGATGCACGGAATACATTTGTTATAATATAAAATCAGACAGAGGATTAGCTCGTGGAACAAGAAGCTCCTATCGCAGGCTAGTAAGGAAATTTTGTTGAAAAGTGTAGCCCAGTCTATGCCTACGTTTTAAACGAGTGTTTTCTTGCTACCTATGTCTGTTTGCACAGCTATTGAGCGTACTATGAACCGTTACTGGTGGGGTCCGGGAATGATCGTGGCATTCATTGGAAAGTCTGGGATAGATTATGTATTCCAAAGAAATATGGGGGACTGGGTTTTAAGGACCTACGTGCCTTTAATTTGGCAATGTTAGGTAAACAGGGATGTCGATTTCTTACTAAGCCTGATTCGCTAGTACTATCCTAAGGGTTCTTTTTCTGAAGTCAACTTGGACACGTGTCAACACCGTATTCATTTAACCTGATAAACAAGTCAACTTGGACCTAATTGATCAATTTTACAGGTTTAAGGGGCCTGAATGGAACTTTTTTCACTTAAGGGACCCAATTGCACTATCCACTTCTTAGGGGACCAATTTGACACTTCTTCCTTAAAAAAATATATTTATAACTGATGAGATAATTAAAATAACAAAGGTAAAAGGATCATATTTCATCTTTTGAAATAATTAAATAAAAAAGTACCGACAAGCACCTTGTACTCATACGAATCTCGATGGTGGTGGGGAATCGACTCTTTGTGCTACAATAGTTAGAGAAAAGTGAGAAAGTATAGAACATATACTACCTTGTAATAGAGTCAATAGTGTTCAAAAAAAAAAAAAAAAAGAAAAGTGCATCTTTGGTTCCTGAGATATAAGTCATCACAAAATTAAACCATAACAATCCGTTTGGCAAGTAAAATTCCTTCGTTTGGTTGCAGGGAATTGGAATTCCATGATTTTTAATTTTTTATAGAATTAGGATCCCATTATGAAGTTTAACTCCCAATTTGCCTACAAAAGATTTAATTTTTTAAGATTCGTTCAAGTGAGAACTTAGCAGATCTGTTCACCAAAGCATTACCTACGACTACATTCAAGAAATTAGTCCGTGGAATTGGTATGCGTCATCTTAAAGATCTTCAATGATGTCTTCATCAGGGGAGCATATTATTGTACTCTTTTTCCCTTGACCAAAGTTTTTTTTCCACCGGGTTTTTCTTTGGTAAGGTTTTTAACGAGGCAATAAAGTGTTCCTCCTTTGGACATCCAAGGGGGAGTGTTATGAAATATGAAATAAAATAATGAAAGCGGATGTTCTAGAAGGACACAATACTCCAAATGTGGCTGCTAGGAATGGAACCTAAGACCTCATGCATGACAAAACAATCCAACATCTTTATCTACCAACTAGGCTAGCACCAACAAGTGGTTATTTTTGTGTAAATATTATATTCATTAGCTATGAATCCTAATGCTATAAATACCCCCCTCTTCTTTGATCTAAAACACACAAAATCATATATGAATGATATATGAATAAATAGCAAATCTCTCTCATTGCTAAATCTCTGTAATTCTATTGCTCTCCTCATTATTATTATTATTATTATTATTCACAACACGTTATCAGCACGAAGCCTCGGGTGCAACTATTACATATGTAATCTTTCTTTATATAATTATAATATTTTATTCAATATTATCAATATGTCAAACCTTACAAATCTTGAATTTGTGGGACTTGATATATCCGGGAAAAATTACCTATCATGGGTACTGGATGCTGAGATGCATCTAAATTAAATGCAAAAGGTCTTGGTGAAACTATAAAAGAAAATAGTGATGCGTCGATGCAAGATCGAGCAAAGGCAATGATTTTCATTCGCCATCACCTAGACCGAGGGTTAAAAGATGAATATCTTACTGTGAAAGAACCCTTTGAACTCTGGAAAATGTTGAAAGAAAGATATGATCACCAGAGGACAGTAATTCTCCCGAAAGCCCGTTATGACTGGCTTCACTTGCGATTGCAAGATTTCAAAACTGTGAGCGAATATAACTCTATTATGTTCAAAATTAGCTCTCAGTTACTATTATGTGGAGAAAAAATTACTGATGAGGATATGCTTGAGAAAACCTTCTCTACTTTTCATACATCCAATATTGTGCTTCAACAGCAATATAGAGAGAAGGGTTTTACCAAATATTCTTAGTTGATTTCATGCCTTTTTGTGGCTGAGCAAAATAATGAGCTCCTGATGAAAAACCACGAGGCACGACCTACTGGTTCAATCCCATTCTCTGAGGCAAATGGTGTGTTATATCACAATGAAAATACAAGAGGTCGTGGTCGTGGTCGTGGCCGTGGCCGTGGTCATGGACGAAACCGTGGTTATAATTCCGGTCGTGGACAAAATCGTCATGGTGGTTATAATTTCAAAAATAAAAGTTACCACCGAAAATGGGAAAATAGTGGTGCAAAACACGACAAGGAAAAACGCGGAAATCATCCCAAAAATGTTGAAAATATATGTTACCGCTGTGGCATGACTGGCCATTGGGAACGCACTTGTCGTATTGCGAGGCACCTTGTGGATCTCTATCAAGCATCCCTGAAAGAGAAGGGAAAGAATATAGAGTCCAACAATGTCTTTATGAACGACGATTTTGATATCACACATCTGGATGTGGAAGATTACCTCGGGCCAATAGAAAAGAAAGATTGATGTTATTTATATTTGAGCTCATTAGATATATATGTTGTACTAGAAGCAAAATGGTTGGTTTTGTCTCTAAAGCTTTATTATTATTATTATTATTATTATTATTATTATTATTATTATTATTATATATATATATATATATATATATATATATATATATATATATATGTATGATGTATTTCGTTTACTACTATGTAATGTTTCTAATTAAATATATTTCTTTGCTTTATTGAAGAAACAAAAATGAGCACATCATCACTTGTGATTAAATCCAAGGCAAATGAAGAAGACATTTGTATTGTGGATAGTGCAACCACACATACAATTCTTAAAAGTGTAAAATATTTCTGCCTTTTGAAAAGGAATGAGGCATTTGTCACTACAATATGTGGTAGTGCAAAAATGATTGAAGGTTCTGGAAGAGCCAATATATTATTGCCTGGAGGAACAAAAGTTATAATAAATGATGCATTGTTCTCTCCAAAGTCTCACAGAAATTTATTGAGTTTTAAAGATATTCGGAATAACGGATATCATGTTGAGACTATAGAAGAAAGGAATCAAGAATTCCTTCAAGTTACAAAGGCAATGTCTGGAAATAAATATGTGTTGGAAAAATTTCATGCTCTTCCATCTGGTTTATACTATACAAAGATAAGTACTATTGAAGCCAATCTTATTGTAAACAAAAAGTTGACTGATCTAAATGACTTTAAGATTTGGCACGACCGATTGGGTCATCCTGGATATGTGATGATGAGAAAAATTATTGAAAATACAAATGGTCATGCCTTGAAAGAACATAAAATATTTCAAGGAAATGAATTTTTCTGTTCTGCATGTTCTCAAGGGAAATTGATCATAAGGTCATCACCAACCAAAGTTGGTATTGAATCACCTGCATTTCTAGAGCGAATTCAAGGTGATATATGTGGACCTATACATCCACCATGTGGACCTTTCAAATACTTTATGGTCCTAATTGATGCCTCAATTAGATGGTCACATGTATGCTTATTATCATCTCGCAATATGGCATTTGCGAGATTACTTGCTCAGATAATAAGATTACGAGCACATTTTCCTGACCATCCAATTAAAGCAATCCGAATGGATAATGCTGGAGAGTTTACATCCCAAGCTTTTGATAATTATTGTAAATCACTTGGGATTGATATTGAACATTCAGTAGCGCATGTTCACACGCAAAATGGTCTTGCAGAATCACTTATTAAAAGGCTACAGTTAATAGCTAGATCATTACTTATGAAAAGTAGACTCTCTTCTACTGTATAGGGACATGCTATTTTGCATGCAGCGGCACTAATTCGTATTAGGTCGACAAACTATCATAAGTACTCTCCATTACAATTAGCATTTGGTCATGAACCTAATATTTCCCATCTGAGAACATTTGGATGTGCAGTCTATGTTCCCATTGCTCCACCACAACGCACTAAAATGGGTCCTCAAAGGAGATTGGGAATATATGTTGGATATGAATCTCCTTCCACTACAAGAAAAATGCACATAGACAACACTAGAAAGACAACAGTTTTTAAAAAAAGTGTTGTCTTTTGTATAAAAGACAACAGTTTGGTCCAAAACCGTTGTCTTTGATGCAACACTTTTGTCAAAGACAACGGTTTTTACTTAACCGTTGTTATAAGTGTGTTGTCTTTGTGCATTTTGTGAAAAGACAACACCACAACGACAACGGTTTTTTAAAACCGTTGTCTATGTGCGTTTTTTTTTAAAGAAGACAACGGTTTTTTTAACTGTTGTCATTGTTGTGTTGTCTTTAAGCGTACTGAAATACGCAACACTAGAAAGACAACGGTTGTTTAAAACTGTTGTCTTTGTGCGCTCTTTTATTTAAAAAAGACAACGGTTTTATTTAACCGTTGTCGTTGGTGTGTTGTCGTTAAGCGCACTCGAATACACAACACTAAAACGACAACGGTTTTATATAACCGTTGTCGTTGCGCGTTCTTTATTTGTTTAAGACAACGGTTTTATTTAACCGTTGTCTTTGGTATGTTGTCTTTAAGCGTATTTGAATACACAACACTACAAAGACAACGGTTATAAAAAACCGTTGTCTTTGTGCATCATTATTTACCAATTGTATAAAATAAAAATAAAGATGTTAACAACAAGAGTTGAACCTATGACCTCAAACTTAACAAATAAGGTCTAACCAACTAAGCAACACAAACTCTTTTGTTTGAAAGTGCAACATTTGGTATATAACTGAGTTGCTTCTATGTTGTTTATGAAAACCAAAACAACAATTTTAGAAAATAGTTGAAAAATTCCCCCCAAGAAGAATAAAACCCGAGACCTTACCAGCACAACATTAAGAACACAATGATTATATAAAATAAGTTTAGGATGCCACCACAAAGGATAGAACCCAAGCCCTTTAACATAACAAACAAAGCTAAATCCACCAAGCCACACCAACTCTTGTGTCTTAAAGTGTTACACCTTATATTTTACCTATAATTTTGGGCTGGCAGCTTTGACCACCGTCATGAGCGGCCGGCGATTAACAACCTCACGTTCTGTGTACTAAAGTATTCTCCTGAGGTTGTTAACAAGAATAAAAATGTAATTAAATTTTTTTGTCCAAATATAATGCATAAAAAATTATCAAAGAAAGAATAAAATTCAAAAGTTAATTTAATAATTCTATTTTTGTTCATATTTAAATATAAAATTATTCACCAAAATTTCAATGTCAATTCATTCAAGTTTTATTTTCAATTACAATTAAGACCAATCTATGAATTCAAAAATAAAAAATAAAAAAATTATCAAGTATAAAAAATAATAGATTATATCTATAATATTTGTTTTAAAAAATTGGGCCCCCAACAATTGGGGGCCCTGTGCGGTCGCGCCGGTCCGACATGGCCTAGAACGACCCTGCGCGGTGCGGTGTGGTGTTCAGAATGGTGCAGTATGGTGTGGTGGGGTAAGGGCGGTATGATAGGGGCCGATGTTAGTAATCGACCCTTCCGGCTAGCGCATGACTAACAAGGTTAGCTATATGTTAGTAATCGACCCTTCCGGCATGCATGGGACACATGGAGAATGGATATGAAAGAGTACTTGATTTCGTACAGTTAGCTATAGCCCATTTCGTTCGCCGCGATCTTTGTAATAATTGGGCCGCCAACTGTCTGGGTAATAAACATCAGGGTAATAAAGGGCAAATTATGCTGTACAACCGTGTGCACCATATATTCATAATTTTTGAAATTCATATTCATAATGATTGAACTCTATATTCACAATTACCGAACTCTATATTCATAATTTTTGAAATTCATATTCATAATGATTGAACTCTATATTCACAATTACAGAACTCTATGTTCATAATTTTCGATGTTCATATTCCTAATTGTTGAACTCTGTATTCACAAATCACATAACTATATGTTCATAATTTGATAACTATACAGTTTAGAAATTATGAATCAACAATACAGAAATTATGAATCTGCAGTATAGAAATTATGAATCTACTGTATAGAAATTATAAATCTACTGTATTTAAATTATGAATCTATTGTATTTAAATTATGAATCTACGGTTTAGAAATTATGAATCAAGAGTAAAGATTTTATGAATTTACAGTATAGAAATTATGAATCTACAGCATAGAAATTTATAAATCTCGCGTTCTGTACCTATATACTCGGTACTATTTTGGGTCTGCGTCCCGGGTAATAAAACTAATATTTTCTTACCCCGTTCTATACCTATATACTCGATTTATGGTGGACCCCGTCCCTATAAAACCATGAATGTACTTATTTAATTTGAAAAAAATGAAAGTTTATTATAAAATTAAAATAAAATTTCGGTATTTTCCTTAAAGTATATTAGTACATAGTACCGGAGTATATAATATATAATATATGTTATGTTATTTTCCTCTTTGTAAAATAAAAATAATTTCTTCAATTCTTTCCCTCTTTACAAGTTTTAACTTAGCGCGAATTTTTCCCTCTTTGCAAAATTTCCTTTCAACAAAATTCGACCATCGTTCAAAATTTCTCTCCATTACAAATTTTCTCCTTGGACAGTAACACCGACTAACACCGTCATTCCCAGTTCTCACGCCACCTCCAACCTCCGACGTCGTTGCTGCCTACAACCTCTACCGCCATTGCCGCCTCCCTCCTCTGCCGCCGCCGCTGCCGTGAAGAACTCAGTAAACTTGTGTGAAAAATTGAAGGTTAGTTTTTCTCTTGTAACGTAATAAGCTGTGAAATTCATCCAAATATTATTTGATAGTATCAATGCGTGTGTTTATGCTAAACAATTTTGGATTGAAGCTAGGGTTGGGGAATTGGGGTTTGACGATGTGAAAAATTTCTGAGAATGCAACAGATTGTAGTCCGGTGTGTTTGCAACAAATTTGCAAAAATTTCTGTGTGTTTATCACAATTGTTTCTTATGCCTGAAAACTTGTAGTCCTCTTTATATATGCAACAGAATTTTTTCTATAATGTTAGCTGTGTGTTTATCAGATACAATGGTTAGTATTTTTAGGGGAAACATGAATTCGTTTTATAGTTTGAGTGTGTTCTTATTTGAAGTTTGGAACTATAAATGTGTGAACATATTGAGAAGTGTTCCAAAATTATTGGTAGGTTTTCTACATTATTTTGCCGTGATTCCGATTCAATGCCCCGATGTTGGACAGGGAAGGAAGATATCAAAGCAATTACCAAAAGAGCACGTTCATCTGTATGGCTATGATTAATTGAACATTATGATGTTTCATGTCTGATCACCCATTTCAGTGGTGCACTTAAGAAAGTGTCCCTTTTTTATATTTTACAAATTGGAATGTTGTCGCTGTTAACAATTGAACATCAATGTTTTCCCATGCATTGTTGTGCTTTTTCAAAATTTCACTTGCTTCTCCTGTGCTCCCCCTTTCTTCCCCTCTTCTAGATATTTCCTGACTTTATTTCATTCTAACCCCACAGGTTCCTAGAGTTGCTAATGATTTTACAATTTGAAATATTTGAAGTGTCTTAGAACATCAATATTTTCTTATTCATTGTCAAGGCCCATCACCATCTGCATCTTGGTTGATTGTTGTAATGCATTTTCAAAAAATTCACTTGCTTTTCCTATGCTCCCCTTTCAGGTTCCAGCATAAAAAACGTTGATAACACCTCTCTAGTGCAAATCTTTTTGGCAACAATTTATTAACGAGTCACAACATCACGTCGATCAAGCTATTACTACTAAGGCATGATATTTCAATTACACGTGCAAATTCCTCTTTTTTATGGCAGGTTTTTATTTTGCCACTTTGAATTTGATGGATTTCAAAAATTGAGGCAAACAAATATGCAACTGAGCAGCTGAATAAAATAATGAGTTGACAACGCTTTGCATAATGATTACCAGGCATACTGCATCAGATTTAAGTTTGTAGTCACTTATGGGTGGTTATAGATTCTGTTTTGCCT